TTAAAAATAAAAACTAATATTTACTTACCTTTGTGACTGATTCAGAATTTATAAAACTTGGAATCTTTAGATCGAAGGTAAGTTTTATTGAAGAATTAAATTAGTTTTTTTTTTTAATTATAAAAAAATATAAAAAATATTAATAACATTAAACTTATTTTTATAGAAAGTTCAGATCCCTAAAGTTCTGAATTAAAATTAGATCAGAGGTAATTCTAAAATTAAATTAGATTTTTTTTAATTATAAAAATACTAATTAACTTCTTTGTAAATAGGTCTAGATTCTTAAAGCATTTAATCAAAAATAAGTTCTAACAGAATATATTTAGTATTTTTTTTAATTTTTAAAATAAAACTAATATAACTTATCTTTATAGACTAATCCTAAAATTTATAAATCTTGGAATCTTAGATCAAAAATAAGACTTGATAGATCTAAATATTTGTTTTGTTTTATTTTTTTTTATAATAATAAAAAAAAACTAACACTAAACTTACCTTTGTAGAAAGTTCAAATCCTTAAAGTTCAGAGTTGAAATTAGATCAAAGATAAGTTCTAATGAAGAATTAAATTAGTTTTTTTTAATTATAAAAAATATTAATAACATTAAACTTATCTTTATAAAATAGTTCAGATCCCTAGAATCCTAGGTTAAAATCAGATTAGAGATAAGTTCTAATAAATTTTTTAGTATTTTTTTTTTGGTTTTTAATTTTTAAAATAAACTAATATAACTTACCTTTGTAAACTAATTCAGAATCTATAAACCTTGGAATCTTGAATCAGAGATAAGTCTTTATGAAGTAAAATATTTTGATTAGTTTTTTTTTTATAATCATAAAAAAAAACTAATACTATCTTACCTTTATAGAATAGTTCAGATCCTTAAATTTTAGATCAAGATAAGGGTAAGTCAAATTTTCAGATTACATATATATTTTATTTTTAAAATAAAACTATTATTAACTTATCTTTATAGGATCAATCTAAAATTCATAACTTAGATCAGAAATAAGTTTTAATGGAATAATTTATGATTAATTTTGTTTTTTTATTTTTTAATAAAATAAACTTATATTTATTTTTCTTAGTAGGCTATTTTGAAACTTTGAAATTGAAATTTTAGATCAGAGATTATCTAATAATTTTTCTAATTTATATATTTTTTTTTATTTAAAAAAAATTTTATAATACTAATACTTGGAATTTAACATTGTCTATTTTTTAGTTAATGATATTTATAACTATATTTAATAGATATTAAGTATATCAGAAACAATTTAACTTTATACTTTAAAATTCTGTTAAAATTTAATCTTTTAAAAAATATATATTTATTAAAATATAATTTATTTATTTATAAATAATAAATAATATAAATACTAATTAGAATATATGCTATTAATTTTTGATACATTTCCTTTTAAAAATATTATATGTTTAAAAAGTTTTGCATTCATTCTGATTCTTTTTACTATAAGTAAATTTTCAACATCAAAAAATAATCTTTCTGATAGTGTAGATGTAGCAGGAGTTGCTAAATAAATTTTAATCATTTTAGTTAAAATTAGATATTTAATTTTCTTATTTACCTATTATTTAAAAGGGTTTTGATTAAATGAAATTTTATCTTCTTTTAAATATTCTGTTACTTTATCAGATACTTGAGATTAAACTTGTTCAAAAATTGCAAAAGTTTAGGCTTATAAATAATAATTGAAAATGTTAATATATTAGATGATGAAGAAGCAGCTTGAGATTCAATAGGTATTATTAAATAATTTTTCTATATTCTTCATATTTTTATATTTTTAATATAATATTTCTTCTTCATCTATTTCATTATTCATATTTTTAATTCATGAATCAAGAATAGTTGATATTAAATTATCTTCAAATAAAAACTTCCAATAATAACACATAGCATTATAAAGATTTTTTTTTATTTCATTCTATTTATTTTCAATTTCTAATGGCTTATTTAAATCTATTTTATTTTGTTTTTGATTATTATTTTCTTTTTTTTGTAATTTCTTCAATTTCTAATATTTCAACTTCTTCAATTATTATAAAAATATTATCTGTATTTTTAATTTTTGAATTAGATAAATTAGATATATTAAGTAAATTAAATGAGGATGATAATAATAATCTTTTAATTTCTTTAATAATTGGATGTATAATACTATGTGTTACATATTTTTCACTACTAAGATATTATGTTACTTTTTCAAAAGGACTAAGAACTAAGATTAATTCTTATAAAAGATTCCATTCATCAAAAGTAAGCATAATTTGCTCAAATTGTTTTCTATCTTTTTTAGCATCTATTTCTGAACTATTTATTAATTCTGATAATAATACTTAAATATAACCTTTAAGTTTAATTAATTTTATCTAAGCATAATAATAACTAGATTTCTATCTTGTTAAAATATTTGCAATTATAAGAAGAAGATATTCACTTATTTTACCAGTATTCTAATTATTATAAAATTATTATAAATAATTTTAAAATTATAAATTAATCAATAAAATTATTATTTACAAAAAAAAATTAAATTTAAATTTCTTACTACATTAATTTGAAGTCAAGAATTTTTTAAATTTCTTCAAGTCTTTCATTTTGTTTAGGTCGTAAAAAAAATCAATTAATCTTTTTACTCTTAATACTAATAATTTAACTATATTTAAATCTTTTTCAATTAATAATTGAAGAGTATATTCTATACAAGGTTGCCATTTAATATTTTTTGAAATTATATCATATTTTAATTGCTTTTTTCATATTTGCATTATAATGTAAACCTTTTCTCTTAAATTTCATTCATCTAATAAAGCAAGTAATATATCAGAAATATTTTGTGCAGTATATAGATATCTAACATATTCTATTATAAAAATAATTTTATAAATTGTAAAACTTTTATCTAAAAAGAAACATGTAAAACCTAAATCTCTTTGTCGATTTCTAGATGTTCACATATCAGTAATTAAACATACTAAAATTGAATTATTATCTAAAAATTATTAATTAAAGAAAGAGTATTATTATATGTTTTATAAATTAATTGCTTAACTAATTTAACATCTGATATAGTAAATTTTGGATCATTCAATGATTTGATGTTTATTTTGCTAAGTTGTTTATTAAATTTTCTGTTAAACTTTCATTTTTATAATATTTGTTATATAATTGACTTATTACAATTTTTACTTAACAAATAGTATCTATTTCAAATAACTCAAACCATTTCTATACCTAATTCTTTTTTGAGAATCTTTTTTTTTTATTTAAATTTTCATTATTATCAAAATTAACATCTTGATTAATTTCATTACTACTTGTACTCATTTTGTAAAAAATTTATTGAAATTTAAAAAATTTTTATTAATAAATTTTTTAATAAAAAAAATTTATTAAACAAATATTATTATAAAATAAAATTTATTGAACAAAAAGAATATAATAATTTATTAAACAATAAAAATTATGAATAATTTTACTGAATAATAAAGAATAAAAATAATTAACAAATTATTATAAATAAATTTTTTTGAAATAAATTTTTTAAAAATATAAGAAAACGATAAAACCATTTGAAAAACAATTATTAAAACCATTAGTTAAATCAGAAACACTTACTAATGAACAAATAATTCAAGTTATCAAAGATTTGGATGAAGAATGGAATAAATCACGTGTTAGTCAATATGTTATGCATCATTAAAAAAAAACTGTAATTAAAAAATAAACTTAATAAACTTAACTTTTTTGATTACAAGTTTTATTATTAACCATTGTGAATTTGAAGTAAATAAAAAAAAGATAATTATGTGATAATATAAACAAAATCGTGATTTTATTGGGTGATGATTATGTAGCAAATAAAGAAACACCTATGATTAGAAAATTTTCATATTGCTATACTCTAAACAAAAATATTAAATTACTTTTAGTCTTCGAAATAATTTATAAAATTCATAACATATATAATAAAAAAATAAATTATTTATTTTTTATAGAATAATATATTAAGTTAGTTTAATAAAATTATTAGAATAGAAAAGTAATTAAATTTTTATATAACTGAGTACTTTTTTTTGAAAATAGTTGTAAAGAACGCAAGAATCTTAACTTTTAGTATTAAAAAAAAGCAAGTTTTAATAATTAATAAAATTATTAAATATATATTAAAGAGTAAATTAATAAGTTTAATTAGCTAAAAGAATGGTTAATGTTTAAGTTTTATTAAGTATTCAAAGCTAAAGAACGTATTATATAACTAGTTTACTTTATGACGTAGTTAATAACTTTAAGTAACATAAGAATTTTTAATTATGATTAACATAGTCTTATGGACATGTCACCTGACTGTTAACGCTATAATAAATTATTCGTTATACATACCGCATAATTCGTTATAGCATAACGAAGATTCTTATAATGAAGTCCTGATCGGCTAGATCAGCAACTTTATTATATCGAGGCGTGACTGTATTGAGAGTATTTCTAAATGCTAAAAAGTTAGAAACGCTATGAGAAACATTTGGAAGAACTTTTCGAACATTAAAATATTAGGATTAGCTTCCAATTAGAATACAAAGTCGGTTCTATGAATTTACTCCTGTATTGAATTATCTTCTTCTACTGTTTTGAACATATGGGTTCTAAGTATGCTCATAACACGAAGATACTTCATAATATTGTCCTCAACTTCTTATTTTCAGCTACATTTTGTAGTTGTGAAACTGATATTTTAAAAAAGATAAATGATAAAGAGAGAATAAAAAACGAGAGCAGACATAATAGAATGCAAAAAGAAAAAATATAATCAGGTTAACTCTAGTTATAACAACATACTCTCAATAAATTCATATCTATTCTACCCTACGTATACACTACTCTATGTTTAACGCTTGAGTCACAAAGTTATTACCTGGTTGAGTTGTTATCTTACAGAGCTTTGTTTCCCAATTCTGCACTTCTACATTCCAGTCATCTCTTCTCTTCTCCAGTCTCTTCCGCCGTTCCTTTAGTTGAGTCTTCTCCTTCTTTTACTCATTTTTCTCCACTTTGTCACTATACTTCTTCTTCCATAGTCTGTCTTCTAATACTGTCAAACACTTTTTATATCTTTCATTTACGAACTCCTCTAATATCCTCTTAACATCGTTCAACTCCCTCTCAGCATCGTCATACAGCTCTTGTTCAGTTTTCTTGACAGTTACCATTTCTTTTTTCAAGTTTTGATGTATTATGCGATGTAATCTAGTACTATAATATACTAACCTGATTGGTGGCTTAATCAATAACGTAAGTATTATGTAAATCTTTCACAATGCTGTGATTGTCCATTGTATTTAGAGTGACCAATGATAGTTGATACGTAGCAATGCGTAGTAATGCGTAATTATCTATTTAAGCATCATCATAAGATTTTATCACAGAAATAGCACTAGTTGCTTACTTTTACAAAGCTAACCACAACACAATAAATTTTATAAACAAGACATTGTACAATTTTATAAATAACACTTTGCGAAAAATATTTACATTCATAAACAAATTCTTCAACAGAGCATTAATCAACTTCATTCTTAGTTTATTGGTAAATTGGCTAATCTGTAATAGCTAATTCAATCATACTAGCATAATATCTAAGACTGGAAAGTTAAGAAGGGTATTTGAAATTCATAAGTTGCAAAAAAGCAGTTGCAGTTTTCACAATACGAAATTTTTACTTACGAAGAACAACTCTGCAGAAAAAATCTATTATAGCAATCCAATCTTAGATTAATGAAGAGAAGAAGAAAGATGTTAATTCAGATGGGAAAAATGAAAATAAAGTAGATGATAGTAGTAATACTATTATTAATAGAGATAGTAAAAAAGATAATGAACTTTAAAATTTACACTAGAGTGACTAAGAATAGGTTATACTTATAAATAGCTTTGGGTTTGAGTATTTCCTTCCATGCAATCACTCTGGTACTTTTATGTTATTTATATTTTAAGAGCACGCATTTAATAATCGAACTAATAAAATTTGCTTACGAAAAAATTGAAATATTTTTATGTTGTTTGACATTTTTAATTGCAATTGTGTCAAAGCTTAACGGATGTGCTTAAGCAGTCTTTTATTATGACTATAAAGAATGATCTTTTGTTCAATAAGTGGAGGCCTTTTATGTTAAACTGCTTGCCTTTACCTTTCTTCAAGTTTTTATTTTTTCCTTGATTTTGTTACAGTTTGCTCTAAATTAAATGATACTTTTATTGTTCAATTAGAACAATTTTACTTGATCATTAAAATAATATATTTGATTATTCTAATTGAATTATATTTTTATTATTTAAAGTAGATAACACTCTTATAAAATTATTACCTATTTGTATTATACTATTAAAGATAACGCTGTAACTGGTTGCAACTGGTGACAAATAAGCATCACAAAGTTGCAACTAGTTGCACATTAATAAAAATTGAGTTGCAACTAGTTGCAACTAGTAACAAATAAGTATCACATGATTGCAACTAGTTGCAGCGCCATCTTTATATTATACTATTATTTACTTATAAGTATAATATTACTTACTTATAATATATTATTATCTTCTTACTGTTTTTAGTACTCTATAACCTTTTTATTGTCAAAGTACTATCTATATAATTTCACCATTTTGTATTCTTTTTATTGTCTTATAATTATTTATATAATTTATTGCATTGTTCTTTTTTTATTATCTTATAGCTATCTACATTATTTTATTGCTTAATAATTTTTTATAATTAAGATCTAAATCAGGAATTAATTATAAAAAATCAAATTACTGTCAGGTAATACATTTAAATAATATGATTTTATTTTAATAATTTTAACTTATATTAAAAAAATTATATGCAAATGTATTTCTAAAACCTTTCTACTTTTTTTTAGTTCTATTTAAAATTTAATTTGTCAGATTAGCTAGTTAAAAGATAAAAAGTAATATGTATTATCAGTAAGATAAATATGAAAATTCTAAAATAAAATTCAAAAAATAGTATTCAAGAAAGATTTTAATTTTCTTTTGATTTAATTTCTTACTATAGATTATAAGTTTTTAATTCTAAATATTTAAATTAATCTAAGCTCCTTTTTCACTATCTAATATTTTAATATCTAACTTAATGTAAAATCATCCTACTTGATATTATATAAGCAAATTTGATTCAACAGCTTCATCTCATAACAAATAATATACAATCATACCTTATCAGTAATATATTACATTAAAAGTAAAATTTGATTAGTATTTTATATTACTTAAATTAGAAATTACCATTTTATTAAAATTTAAAAAATGCGATTATGAAATTTTACTTTATTAGTATGTACATTTTAAAATACCTTTATCTTATAATGCTATTTATATATTTTCTTTATTCTACTAATACTTCTAAAACTTTTTCATCTAAAAACTTACTTTCTATTCATGAAAGAACTATTCACTTAAATAATAAAATAATATCTTATTTATATTATCTAACTTTTCTATCTTTATATATTATTCACAACTTTAAACAATTCTTTCATAATACAATTAAAGACACACTTACAATTTCATAGAAATGAACCTTGAGTAAAAACTTTAAAAATGGAGCCCTTTTCTAAAGGATTTTTTATTATTTTATTTTATAATTTACCAACTTTTTAATATTTTTTGTAAAAAGAATGTATACTTATAAGTTTGAAGATAGTCAAAAATATGAACAATTAGAAAATTTTTTGATAATAAAAATTGTGGTAGCAAAATGCAAAGGATAGGAACATATGCATATGTTTTAATACAGAGTATACAATAAACTTATAATGTTACTTTTTGTTAGAAAAAACGTATATATATAGATTCTAATATAGAATTATATTATAATTTTATATACTTTAAATTTAATATAATATAAGGATTTTGTAGAAGGTAATTAAAATCTTTTTATTTATATATAATAAAAATAAGAGAAGATATTTTCAAGTATAGAAATTAGTAATAAAATTTTAGAAAACAAGAAATTGTATATAAATTTAATTAAAATGTTATAAATAAAGTAAGATTTTTTTTTGTTAAAGAAATAAGAATAAAATACAAATTGATTTTATAAAAAATATACATAAATTATTTTTCGATTTTAATAAAATTTTTAAAAGAATATTTATATTTATTCATTATCACTTCATATTACTCAACTTACAAAATTTATTAATCACATTAATAAGAAGAAATATTAGAACCTTTTACTGATATACTTTATATTTATAGAAAATATATTCATATTTATTTATAGGGATTGATGATGAAAGAGTTAAACTTTGCCAATCAAATTTTTATTATAATTTTGATCTTCTTAATATAATATCTTTCGATGGTTCTAATCAGAATTTCAAATTTTTTATTTTAGATTTTAATTTCTATTGCTTTTCATGTATATTTAATTAAAATATTATATATCTGATAAAATAATTGTCAGTTTTCATAACAGAGAATATTATAAATTACAGGTTCTTTTAATTTTCCTCTGCCTATTATTATTTTTTCAAAAAATAATTGTATCTAAAATAAAAATTGATAAATAATAAATTAATATAGAATGGTTAAATAAATATTTTTAAAATTGCTTAAAAACTTATATATTGATAATTTTTCTTTTCTATACTTAATGTTGAAAAGTATCGCAAACTATTCTTTTTGTTTTAGATATCACATAATTGAGGTATATACTGAGCAAGCACATGCATATATGGAGCAATATTTGTATACAAATATATACCTTCTTGTTGAATAGCATTATTCAATTACTAATAGTAAAATAACAAAAATCACAAATCTATTGCTTTGCATCAGCTTTAAATTAGTCAATTTCTTTATTTATTATGAATATTTAACACATTATTTTATAAAGATAATAAAATTCACATCAAAGATGCTCAATATTTTATCCTTTTATAGCTTATTATCCTTCAAAAAATGTTTAACCTGAAAATTTTTTAATATTTTTTTTTTATTAGGACTCATAAGTGATATCTATTCCTATTTTTCATTTTTTATAGTAGAAGAGTAAAATTCAAAATGGATATGCAATCTTTTTATTTCTGTAAGTATTAATATTTATGTATTATTTGCAAAATCTTTTTGTTTAATAAGTTCATAAAATAAATATTAAAAAAATATATCAGAAATTCGTAACATAAGATATAATTCATCTATAATCTAATTACTTTGATCTAATTCTTAAAAAAACATTATATTTTTATATTCTATAATAACTTTAATTATTAACTTATTATATTAAATAAAATTTACATATTTTTTGAGTTTATTCATACTTTATCTATATTATATCTTTCATCTTTATGACAATTATAATATAGGCAAAAGTAATTAAATGTTGCAGCATTGATTTTCATAACTAATACTACAAATTTTCAATCACTCAAAAAAATAATTTAACTGGTCAAATTATATTATTTGAATCTTTATATCTATTAGTTTTTAATTATTCAAATTCATGTAAAAATTTAGTTGATATGATAGATAAAAAATCATAAGATTTTTTTCTATATATAAACAAATATATTATACAATAAATATTAATATATATTAATAAATTATATATTATAATACACTTGTATAGTAGTATATGATAAAATTAAAAATTAATAATATATAATACCTATATTGATGAATGAGATTCAAAATAGCTTCTTCTTCATTAAGAATACATATAATAAGCATCACATATTTTTTGCTTTCTTTCTGCATTTCTTTTATTTCTACTTAATTTTATATTAATCTTATTACTAACTTTTAAAACAGGAGATATTGAAGTTATTAAAATAAGAACTATAATATCTAATATAGATATAATAGATTACCAATATCACTATCATTAAGTTCTATTTTTACTATTTATATCTTGTTGATTTTTATCATTAAAATTAACACTATAAATGTTAAATAATTTGATTAGAATAATGATGAGGGATGAAACCTCTTAATAATAGTCATAATTTAGATGAAACTATTTAAATTATAATAAGAGATATAATGAAATCCTTTCGATACGACAAAAGCTAAAATTGTCAAAACTATCTTAAAAATATAAAAAAGGATATAACAAAATTATTTTGAGAAAGTTTTAGCAAGCATCTATAGATTAGAATAAGAGCTTTCATTATATTTGTAATTTCATTTC